GCTCCTCCTGGGCCCTGCTCCCCCTGGCCCTGCTCCCCTAGGCACTACTCACCTGGGTCCTGCTCCCATGGACCCTCCTCTCCTGGGCCCTGCATCCCCTGGCCCTGCTCCCCTGGAACCTGCAACCCCTGTGTCCTGCTCCCCCTGGCACTGCTTTCATGGGCTCTGCTCCGCTGGGGCATGCTCCCTCTGATCCTGCTTCCCCGAGATCCTGCTCCCCCTGGTCCAGCTTCACCAGACCCCACTCCCTCTGGCCCTACTCCCTCTAGCCCTGCTCCCCTGGACCCTGCTCCCCTCTGGCCCTGCTCCTCTGGGCCCTTCTCCCCTTTGTGCTGCACACCCCCTGGGCCCTGCACACCCTGGGTTCTGTTCCCCTGGTCCAGTTTCATAGCACCCTGCTCCCTCTGGCCCTGTTCTTCTGGCCCTGTTCACCCTGTCCTGCTCCCCTCGACCCTGTTCCTCCCTGGGGCCTGCTCCATCTGGTCCTGCTTCCTTGGGCGCTGCCCCCCCGGCATTGCTCCCATGGGCCCAGCTCTCCCTGGCCCCGCTTCCTCTGGTTCTGCTTTCCTAGGCACTGCTCCCCCAAGCTCTGCCTCCCTGGGCCCTGCTCCCCTAGGACATTCTCTCCCTGGCCCTGCTCCCTGGGGCCTGCTACTCCTGTGTCTGGCTCCCCCTAAACCTGCTTTCCTGAGCCCTGCTCCCCTGGGCCATGCTATACCCTGGCCCAGGTCCCCTAGGCCATGCTCCCTCTGGTCTTGCTCCCCCTAGGCCCTGATACTCCTGACTCTGCTCACCTTGGCTCTGCTTCCCCCTAGGCTCTGCCCCATCAGTGGCCTGCTCTCCTTTGACCCAACTCATACTGGTCCTGCTTCACTAGACCTTGCTCCACTTGGCCCTGCTCCCTCTGGCTGTGTTTCCCCTAGCCCTTCTCCCCTGGGCCCTGCTCACCTAGGCCCTACTCCCTCTGGTCCTGCTTTCCTGGGCCTTGCTCCCTCAGGCCCTTCTCCCTTGGGCCCTGCTTTCCTGGGCCTGCTTCTCCTGGACATGCTCTGCTGGGCCCTGCTCCTGCTGAGCCCTGCACTTCTAAGCCCTGCTCCCCCTGGTCCCTTCTCTCCCTGGGCGCTGCTCCCCCAGTCCGTTAACCACTTACTCTGCATCTCCAGGGCCCTGTTCCCCCTGGCCTTGCTCCCCTTTTTCCTGCTTCTCCTGGGCCTGCTTCCCCAGGCCCTGCTCCCCTTGGTGCTACTCTCCCTAAGCGCTTGCCTCTGACTCTGCTCCCCATAAACCTTTTATCTCTGGCTCTACTCCCTCTGGTTCTGCTCCCCTGGACCCTGCTCCTCTGCGACCTGCTCACCCTGTCCCTGCTACCTTGGGCCCTGCTCCCCCTGAGTATTTGTCCCCCTGGCCCTGCACCCCTGTGCCCAGCAACCCCTGTGTCCTGCTTCGCCTGGCCCTGCTCCCCATGGGCCCTGCTCTTCCTGGCCCTAATCCCCTGGCCCTGCTCGCCCTGTCCCTGCTCTCCTGGGTCCTGCTTCCCCTGTCACTGC